TTAACTTCCCATGGTACGTACAGTGAGACATCTGAGCTCGATGTCCCATATATCAAGTGAATCATTAAGGTTGGAAAAGACCTCTAAGATCATAGAAGAATAGAAAGGTTTAAGTTGAAAGGGACCTTGAAGATCACATAATTCCAACCCCCTGCCATGGGCAGGGACACCTTCCACTAGCCCAGGTTGCTCCAAGCCCCGTCCAACCTGACCTTGGACACTTCCAGGGAAGGAGCAGCCACAGCTTCTCTGGGCAACCTGTGCCAGGGCCTCACCACCCTGACAGGGAAGAATTTCTTCCCAACGTCTGATCTAAAGTTGTCCTCTTTCAATCTAAAACCATTCCCCTTTTCCTGTCACTATCTGCCTGTACAAAATGTCTCTCTCCCTCCTTTTTATAAGCCTCCTTAAGGCACTGGAAGACCACAGTAACATCTCCCTGGAGCCTTCTCTTCTCAGGCTGAACACCCCCAGCTCTCCCAGCCTGTCTGCAGAGCAGAGGGGCTCCAGCTTTCAGAGCATCTCTGTGGTCTCCTCTGGACTCACTCCAACAGATCCACGTCTTTCTTGTGCTGAGGACCCCAGAGGTGGAGGCAGCACTGCAGGTGGAGCCTCATGAGTGCAGAGCAGAGGGGGAGAATCACCTCCCTTGAGCTGCTGGTCACACCTCTTTTCGTGCAGCCCAGGATCATCGAGGCCAACAATCAAACCAGCCACACCACCAGGTTCATCACCAAACCACGGGCTTAAGTGCCACATCCACACATTTTTTGAATGCTTACAAGGATGGTGGTGACCCCACCACTTCCCTGGCCAGTCTGTTCCAATGCTTCACAACCCTTTTGTCGAAGAAATTTTTCTTAATATCTGATCTAAACCTCCCCTGGTGCAACTTGAGGCCATTTCCTATTTCACGTGAGCTACAACGTGACTAACACTGTGCATCCCTTAATTTGTGTTCCAGGAATCTCTCTGCTCCTGAACCTTAGACCCAGCCTGATCCATAGCTTCGAAAGACGAGGGATGGGACTCCTCTGGCCAAACACAGATCTCTGCATTTGATCCAGTGATTCCTGGTGCCCTCTATAATTGAAAAGAAGCAGAAGACACTCTGGGGGCATATAATGTCTATAATATGGAATATGAATTATGCCCTTAAAGTGTGGGTTAGAAGGAGAGCCTGGGGTGATGGGTGCAGGTCTGAATGCCAACATGTTGGTTATCAAAAGCTGTGTGCCACCAGTGCCATCTGAGCTAATAATTTTTTTTTCTCCCTTTCACAACTCTGAGGGATGGATTTGACATGTAACTACTTTGGAGAGCGAGTGAAAGCAAAGAAACGAAGTGCAGTGATGTGTTTATAAATATATATGACCACATTTGTAGATGTGGCACTTAAAAACAGAGTTTAGTGTTGGGCCTGGATGTGTGAGGTCAGTGGTTGGAGTCAGTGATCTTGGAGGTCTTTCCCAACCTTAATGGTTCAATGATTCTCTGCATGACACATAAATTTATGTCAATATATGTAAAAGTGTATTTTTATATATTTTACTTTTAGGATATGTTAAAGGTTTAATTTTCATACCATACCTGGTACCTGAGAGACTGGCAGGAAAAATAGCTAATATTCTGTTGTAGCTGGTGCAGATATATGACAGTTGAGGTGATCTCCTAACCATCATCACCTCAAAATCCTCAATCACAAGCTGTCCAGGATGTGCAGTCTGACACTTGCCTTCACTTAAAATTAATAATGTAAGAATTGAGTGGCTTTATCAAAGTTATACAGGGAGCAAAGTTGCTTTCCTAAGATCCCATGAAGCAGAATCAATATCTGAATTAATTTGATCAGGCACAACCTAATTTTATGCAACAAGACCACTCTTCCTTCCCAAGCATCTGAGCTGAAGTGGGCTCTCCACATTCATAGCTGTAAGTACACTGTGCTCTGCCTGGCTATAAATTATCCTTTTCCATCCCTAAGTAAAATTGTAGAGGTCCTTTGCTAGGAAAATACTCAAGCAGGCACAATAAATGGGCATTTTAAGCAGAGATAACCTGTGCCTTGTTCCTGAAAATGAACAGCCAGGCTGCTGGCAATTATCTGTAATTACAGCTGGTACAGAAGGGTTTTTCATAATGCATTTTTGTACAATGTGCAACCCTGAGATGAGGTCCCAAGGCTGAAACATTTGTTCCCCTTTTCCATTAGGTGCGTTTTAAAAAGTAATAATTAGAAGATCGTTCAGGAGGAAAGATAACACTCTGACATGGCCACTTAGTAAATACATAAGGCTTATTATTTGCCTCTCAAGAGGCTTGATCCCGTCCCAGTGATTTAATATGAACCATGATATAACCAGTTAATTACCAGAACTGAAAGGAGAGAAGGAAGAAAAGCATCATTAAACCCATTTTCCTGATAAGGAAACCTAAAAAGTTCTACCCTAAAAAGTTCTTTGCATCCATTCAGCATCAAAGCTGAGAAACTTGTCAGTCAGCAAACTCCCAGCCCAAGGGTGATCTGTAGAATTCAAATAACTTGGAATTTGTTAAAAAGGATCTCTCCATATATCAGCTTCAGTTATAGTTTTTCTGATTATTATTTTGGCTTAGGATTCTGCTTTGCCCATGTTGTGGTGATTAATTGTGGAACAAAGAGCTCAGCACACCTTGATGAGGTAGCAAAGGATATTCTTCCTTCAGTGCTTGGAACACAAATATTAGTTTGGTCTTGTCAAACAGATCCTACTATAAGACCTGGCCAGATGTTTATAGTTTTGCCAATCCATTAATCATTCCAACCATTCCTTGGTCTCCCTTCTCATGCTGAGCTCTGTTGGTAAACAACTGTTTCTGAGAGAATTTTGAGATTAAAATACTGCCTTTCCTTCCACACCATTGATAGGGACATAAGAGGAGCTGAGTTGAAAATGAAAAATAAGCCCTTATTTATGTACTGGATAAAACATGAGCTGTTTGGTGCCTGTCTCCTCATGTGCTCCTTTTGTTACCACAGATACCATGAAAACCCCAGTATTTACTGAATCATTGACCTGACTCCCTGCATTTACTGTGTTTAGAAAAAAGCTTGCTTGGAATACTCTGCTAAAAGTAATTACTGGGGACAACAGATACCAAGATTTTAATTGCAGTCCCTGTATCTCTTTGTTCTTAAAACTTAATTCAAATGTCCTTTTGGTTAGCCAAAAGAAAAGAGAAATAGAAAAAATAAAAATGTTACTTGTCTGTAAGTCTCTCATCTCAGGAATCTGTCTAAATGCTTTCTGAATAATCAAAGTCACAAAAATCCCTCTGAAGCAAATGAGCTTCAGCATATCAGTCTTGCATAAGTCCATAATTTGAAGGGTCTGATTCTGTGCAGGGCTGGTTGTGTTTTCTTGCCTTCAAAATCAAAAGAATTTGGTGTCCCTTCTCCCCTTCAATGAGCAAAAGATTCTCCTGAGCAATTATGTTAATTAATCTCATAGATAGCACTCAATTAAAACAGAATACTTCATTTATACTTGCAAAATGCCTGAGACCCACAGATGAAGGGATTTGTATATATTGCCCAGAGAAGCTGTAGATGCTCCATTTCTGGAAGTGCTCAAGGGAAGGTTGGATGGGGCTCTGAGCAGCCTGGTTGAGTGGAAGGTGTTCCTGCCCATGACAGGGGGTTAGAAATAAACGATCTTTAAGGTCCCTTCCAACCCAAACCATTTCATGATTCCATAAATGTTATTTCAAATTATTTGATCATTCATAACGAGTACAAGACCATATCACAGAGGACAGAGCTGAAGGAGAACAGCTGAAGCAATGCTGGAAAACTGATCATTTCAGAGAACAGACTGTGCAGGTTACCCCAGAGAACTGTGAGAGCACAGATGACAGGGACTGTGTTTGCTTTGCTCTTCATTGTCCCATTTGCAAACCAGTGAGCACCACGATATGTTGGGTCTGATCTTCAGCTTTTGTCAGTTGCAGCTCTGGACACTGGAGGTAGGTTGAATCTAGAGACTTTGCTAAGTTTTATGGACAAAAAAAAATAAATAAGAAACAATTAAAAAGAACCTTTTTTTTCCAACATATTATTTTTTAACAGTTTTAAGTGAATATGAGATTGCCCTTAGGGCCCAAAACAAAATATCTTTTTAAATGGAAATTTTTGTGGAACAGGAGGAGGTGTGTGCTTCATGTCTTGCCTCAGCAGCAGATATGTTGCCTTAGAAACACAGCAAAGAATATTTTTGATAAGGCAGCCTCTGATGTAAAAATGAGCTGTTTCCATTGGGGTCCTATGTGGTGTACTGGCCATGTCAATAAATTTCAGGAATCTCCCACTCATCCCAGTTTGGGAAATTTAAAAATATTCCATTATGTGCTTTTCAAACACATCAGGGATCAATTCTGCTGAAGACTGGATTAGTCTATCACTGAGACCTTGTGAGTCCATCACAAGAGGAACACTCTGTATCCCCAAATCAAAGGTCAGCAGATGGTTTTGTGCCAGTGCCTGTGGTAGCAGTAGGTCATAGAATAATAGATATGTTCAGGTTGGAAAAGACCTTTCAGATCACCAAGTCCAGCTGATAACCCAACACTGCCAAATCCACCACTAAACCACCTCCCTCCGTGCCACATCCACACGTAATTTAAATCCCCCTGGGGATGGTGACTCTCCCACTTCCCTGGGCACCCTGTTCCAGTGCCTGATCACCCTTTTGGTGAAGACATTTTTTCCTACTATCCAATCCAAACCTCCCCTGGTGCAACTTGAGGCCATTCCCTCTTGTCCTGCTGCTTGTTTCCTGGGAGAAGAGACGGATCCCCACCGGGCTACAACCTCCTTTCAGGGAGTCATGGAGAGTGATGAGATGCTGGTGGCTGGCACGGTGCTGTCTGTGTGCTTTCCCTGAAAAGAACCAGCTCCAAGTAGAAGTCTTGGAAGCTGCCCTCCATGGCATCATCTCTTAGCAGCACCAGCTCCTTTTGGAAGCTGAAGGATTTATTGGTCAGGCAGCTGCTGCGATCATTAATTTGAATTGAAGGATGGAGGTTCCAGAGTTGTGGGGTGAGTATGTTTCTCTCCAAAGAAAATATTAAGGAAGAAACTCTTCTCACTGAGAGAGTTTAGCAAGTTTTCTTTTTATCAAAATAACAGATGTAATTTTTCAAATGCACTGTCAATCAGCAAAAATTAAGTTTTTTTATGGGCTCACAGGGAGACAATACATCTCACTGTTTTGAAGTTGCCCAAATATAGGACATAACCCCAATATAGGTTTCCTGATTCAGCTACTAACCACTATCCTGCTTTCTTGTGATCAATATTCTTTCCTTTCCCCCCACATTCCTCGGGCCGAAGGATGGCAGTGATGCACCTTCCCTGTTCCTCCACAGAGCAAAGGCTCCTCTCTCTCCAAGTTGTCTCTCTGACACGAGCCTATGAAGTTTCACCATATCTCTGAGCTCCAGTCCCAAAAAGTTCACTGGGAAATACATTAAGGATGTGTTTTCAGAGGACTTCACACTTCATTCCAAGTCTAATTACTTTCAGTTAAGCAGCATAATAGATAAATTAATTTATTGCAGGAACTGGCATTTTCCTGCCTTAGGTTCCTCATCAGTATGAGCAGTTCTTCAAACAATTCTCAATCTCTTCTCTCCTCTGAACCAGCCTTCCTCTTTTTCTCTCCCTCCTCTTTTTCCTTGCTTCAAGTCAATATTATTTGATTTTTTTTCTCTTCTTGCCTTAAAAAAAAACTTCTCTTTTAAGGCTCTTTTCTGTTTAATGCACTCTGCACAGTGACTGACAAGAAACTTTTCCTTTTATTATCTCCACTCACAGACTCAGGTGACTCCCTGATTAACCACCTTGGTGGTCAAAGTGCCCTTTTAATTATGTGTTGCTATGATACCAAAGGTGAGATAGAACTATTGTAACATGGACTCTCAAAAGGCACAGCTGATCTTTCTTGATTCCCTTTAATCAATAAAAGGAGATATACAAGAAATCTGAAAGCCTATTGGTGTCTATCTTGGATACTGAGGTTAGCATGACCTGAATTAGTCTGTTGGGGATTATTTAACTGTAAGATGATTCTATCATACTCAAATGTTTAACTTTTATACTTATATCTTGCTTATATCCAGTATTATGACGGAGAGCTGGTGGAATGCATCTCCAGGAGATGAGCCCGTGTCCCGTTTATGTCTTTCAGTGCAATAATTTTGATGATAGTTTCTAGTACCAGTATTGGAAAAAAATAATATGGGAAGGTTACTAAAAATGCATCCACACCACACTTCAATCAGAAATTCTGAAAGCACAAAATGTCTCTGGAATCATAGTGATAATGCTGAGAGATGTACAATGAAAACAACCATGTTTCTATGATAACCAGTTATTGACAGGTTTACTTGTTAACTTATTTTGCAGGGGGAAAAATAGACAGCAAACACTTGAACATTAGAATTTTCTTTGATTCTTTGGATTCCTTGTAGTTGCAAGACACAGCCAAAGGGGAATTACATTATCTTCTCTGAAAATGCATTTTTTAGAATATAGACATGGGAAGGTCACTTAGCCTGTGAATTGCAGAATTCAAACAATACAAAACTGCTTTTCTTGTCTAAAAATTCACACCAACTTCCCTAAATGGCTGAAAGAACACTCAAGGCAAGGACAAGGTTATATTTGCCCTGGTTCTTTTAAACTTTGTCAGGCACGATGCTGAGTTAGGTGGAACTTCCATCTGAGCAGAGCAAATATTCTCACAGTGCCTCAAACAAGCCCTTAAACACAGGTGTCAGTGACAAAAGGCCATGGAAACCCTTTAGTCATTTTATAGGTCATGGATTTAGGAAGAGATGTGGGTTAGGGCAAGATGTGACTAATGTGGGGGTCAAAAACTCTGACAAAGCCTTTACTTACACATTTTCTACCTGTACAGGTTTTTCAGTCTCCTCTTCTAAGCCCATCACAGAAAAACACTGTTGCTAAGAGTTTTGCATAACTGCTTTATGGCACCTTTAAATACTACATATAATCTAATATTATATAATTTAGAATATTTTGTAGAGATTTAGGTTTGGTGAACCAAAAATTAATCTCTCTGGTTAGTAAAAAAGTAAAAACATACATCCCTTATCATAATCATTTTATGATCCAATAGACAAAATTAATAAAGGTATGAAGTAAGACCATATTGTGCCATTATTTGCCAGTGCTTTGAAATTTCACTAAGCATGTTATTGATTTTTTTAAGCAAACAGATTATTTTTTATTTCACTCATACTAAGATTCTGCTGGCAGTAAATGCTGAAAAGTGCAGTGGGATTCCAATTTTTCTTGTGCAGTTTTTTTTCCAGAAAAGCTTTCAGCACCAGATGCTCAAAGGTTAAAAAAACACCTGTCATGGACTTGACAGGCTGCAGACACCCAATTTTTTTTTTTTTGGAATGTGACTCTCTTTCAGTCACCACCAAAAGAATGACAGGTGTTAAAGAGGAAAATCAATCCTAAAGCAGGCAGTGACATCTGGGCAGCTGAACCACTCCCTAGACTCCTCTAATGAGGGTGTAGGTTACTTATTCACACAGTCAGGCAGCAGCTTTTGAGGCTGGGGTGGCTCAGATACCCACACAGAGGTGGCAGATGTGACACCCCTGGTGTGGGACATCCATGTCCTCTTGAAATGAAAGCAAAATTTAGGCAGGATAACGAGGTATTACAAACAGGTACAAAAGTGTGAGCAATTAAAGCAGACTGAGGTATCTACTGAGCACAGAGAGGACTGAAACACACACCTGAATATCAAATTTAATATTGAAAGTTAAGCTGAAAGTTAAATTTAATTGTCTGATCTTCGGCTGGATCCCACTCCACGTGCTGTGCCCGTAGGTAGAGTCACGCAGGCAGATCCAAGCAGAACACACTCCCCAGCTCCCAGGGTTGAATTTCTTTCGAACAAAGCCACTTCCTCAACTCAGTGATGTGCATGGCAAATAAGGAAAGCAATATTTGTGCCTCCCAAAGAGGCCTGTGTGAATATCACCCGTTTCCTGCAGCATTGCTAAGAGACTCCCGTCCATTGTAGAGGTGGCTGTGTGTGGTGGCTGGGGAAACAAAACCACCCAAACAAACACAAAAACAGCCCCTGCCTTGCAGGAGAGAGGGGACATGGACAGAATGGCAATCAAACAGAGCAGCTGTAGAAGAGATCTTAACACAGAAAACCCAGCAAAGCCACGGGGAGGGTGCTGGAGCAAAGTTAATCCTATTATAAATTAGCTTGTGCTTCCTGCTCTGAATGCTTGGGTTACCCTCTTTGTTTCCAGAAAACATGATTTAGGAAGCTTAGCCTGCACAAAAACCCAAGTCAACAAGTCCTGTGGCTCCAGGAAAGAAACAGGACAGCTCTGGTTTGTACTGATTCATGGCTATTTACTCAAGGTGTAAAGGTATGGTCAGAGATCACCAAAATTTAAATTTCTCTTTGAAAAGGCAAACGTTGAATTAATTATTTAATTAAGTTGTTCCTCTATAGCCTCTCTCATGGCTTAGTGGATTACCTATATGTAAAACATACATCAGAACTGAGGACTCCAGTTTAATAAAAAAAGAGGTCCTGATGCTCATAGACCTTCCTCCTATGTGTGATTTGATTGAAGGATTCATTCAACTTTCTAACTTGTAGAAAAAGCAAATAAACCCTAAAAATAAGTGAAGATAGTTTATCACATCTAGGACTGGCTACAGTCAAAACACAATTAAGGTGCAAAGCCTGCATCCTATTTGTGCTAATAATTAATTTACCTTTTTTTTTTTAAGCATATGTGCTTGAACTCTCTGATACTTGTAGTTGAGATATAAAGTATCCTTTATAAAAGGATATATCTGCCTGTTTCATGGAAATCTTATGGTGCTTAACAGACATCAGTGAAATTCTGAAACACTCAGACCAAACCTTGCCCACATACTTATAGTTGTAACATTATACATGTTCTCAGGTAATAAGGAGATAATTCTGACTTCATCCATTTACCACAGCCATAAAGACTTAGACATGAACAACTGTGTAATCCTCATGTAGAGAACAGACAAATTTAGGTTTCAAAGAAACTACAAATTTCCTTGTTAAAGAAGAACACAGTGGTAACTATCAGGGAACTAAAACAGGAGGGCAAAATGTGAGATATGAGCACTCTGTTTATCACTGTGTGATTTTGCTCACCTATAGTTTATGTTGCCCCCAAAACATAGAATTCTATTCACCATCTGATGCCCCAAAGATACTTCAGGGGTTCAGTTTCCTTTACTTTTTGTACTGGGCACCAATCTTCCAGGGATAAATGACTGGAAGTTTATCCTACTTAGCTGCTTTTCTTTCCCTCCAGTCCTATGGAGACTCAGAGGCATCTTTCAGACACAGCCTGCAGGATGACTTGAAAGAAGGCCAGATATTGATCTATGGATCAGCAGAGGAGAAATAGTCCCCTTTATTTTTGACTGATCACCTACACTGCCTCCTGTATGTAGAGTTTGCCTCACCAAACAGGAATTCTATTCGAGATGGTTTGTCCTGTTCAGGTGATTACTGGGAAAACTCTCGCTTGCTCTTGTGCTCCTTGAAAATTCTTTCAGAGAGCAATTTTTGGAGGATTCAAAGAGGAAAAGTTTGTCACCTCCTTGTCTGGAAATGGTGGTGGATGTGCCTCCATCCTGTGGCTGGAAGCTCACACACCACACACACTGTGTAAGTGAGTAGGGAGAGCTACTGAGACCACTTTAGTCAGACTCAGCATCAATAAATTAATTTCCTTAAGTAAACCCCAGCTAAATTACAATAGATAAAGAGTGGGTGCTTCATACCTGTCTGACAATTCTATTCTTCTCTTAAAAAGTTGTGAATGTTTTCTTTTAAAGAAAGGTCTTTGCTCTTCAGCACCGATTTAATAAGGCAGTTTTACATTAGGTGAGTATTAAATAATTGCTAAATGAGATCTTCAGGCATGAGAAGCAAATAAGAGCTTAATCTGCGTGCTATATAATTATCTTAAAATTATACATGCAGCAATGTGTAATTAAAACTATTCTTACAATTTAAAAATGAAAATTCAAACACGAGAGCCACAGCTATCCTTAGAAAAAAAAATGATTCACCATTAACCTTTTTAATATATTCATTTCTACAGGCTTTAATGAATTTAAGTGAATTCTTAAGCACTGAAAGAGAAAAGAAAGTATTTTTAAGTCTTGACATAAAATGTTTTGGGGAAAAACTCCCTCAGGCCAGACCTTAAAGCTTTAAATGATCATTGAATTAAGAGAATTGTAGACATTACACCTCTACTGTCTTGGAGTACATTCTACACCCACAGAAAGAGAAAAAGCTGCACTTAGAGGTGCTCTCTGCAGTTATCTAACTATCTGAAATAACCATTTTAATTCTGGAGAGCTATAGTGTATTTAAATTTTATACCAGTAGCATGACTGAATTCAGACAGGAATTTTTAGATCACAAACTTTGGATCTGAATGGAAAAACATTTCAAATATGTACAAGGACCTGTCAGCATGAATTCTGTTTTTTTCTGCTGCCAAAATATCTGTGATGTCTTTTGCATCATGTTCTAGATGTGATTCCTTAGTTTTATTGTCGCATGCATCAGGTTTTCATGCTCCAGTGCTGTCCTAGCTTTGAACAAATAGAAAAGGTCAGACAGTACCTCAAAGGAAGCAGAGGATGTGAGAATATTTTTGTCTAGACTCTATAAAACTGGCATCAAAATAATTGATTTTTTTACAAAGTGTGAAATACATCAGATTCAGCTGATTCTTCATCCCTGGAAGTGTTCAAGGCCAGGTTGGGCTTGGAGCAACCTGGTCTAATGGAAGGTGTCCCTGCTCATGGCAGGGGGTGGGATTGGATGATCTTCCAACCTAAACCATTCTGGGATTCTGATCTATGTAGCAAAGAGATTTAATATACAGATAAATAAATAGGAAGAATGAAGTTGTCAGGGACTTCTGAAGAATATCCAGTCAAACCCCTCTCCTCAGAGAAATGTTGTCCAGGATTTCATCCAGTTGGATTTTGAGTATCTCCATGGATGGAGGCTACACAATCTCTCTGGACAAACTGTTCCTGTGCTTGAACACTTTGAGAGTAAATATGCTACGGAAAAAAGTTCAAATGGGACTTCCTCCACTTCAGATTGCACCCACTGCCTCTTGTCCTTTCCCTTGGTGTTGTTGAGAGTACCCTGGATATATCTTTGCTCCCTCCTGTCAGGTTCAAGCAGGCCAAGTGCCGGGTCCTGCACTTTGGCCACAACAACCCCCCCCAGGCAGCTCCAGGCTGGGACAGAGGGGCTGGAGAGCAGCCAGACAGGAAGGGAGCTGGGAGTGTGGATGGACAGGAAGCTGAACAGGAGCCAGAGTGTGCCCAGGTGGCCAAGAGGGCCAATGGATCCTGGCCTGGCTCAGGAACAGTGTGGCAGCAGGAGCAGGGAAGTGATTCTTCCCCTGGACTCAGCACTGGCGAGGCCACCCCTGGAGTGCTGTGTCCAGTTCTGGGCCCCTCAATTCAGGAAGGACATGGAGGGGCTGGAGCAGGTCCAGAGAAGAGCAACAAGGCTGGGAAAGGGACTGGAGCACAAGTGCTGTGAGGAGAGGCTGAGGGAGCTGGGGTTGTTGAGCCTTGAGAAGAGGATGCTCAGGGGAGACCTCCTCACTCTCTGCAACTCCCTGACAGAAGGTTGTAGCCAGGTGGGGGTTGGTCTCTTCTCCCAGGCAGCTATCAGTAAGACAAGAGGGCACAGTCTTAAGCTGTGCCAGGGGAGGTTTAGGTTGGATATTAGGAAGAAATTCTTTACAGAGAGGATGATCAGACATTGGAATGGGTTGCCCAGGGAAGTGGTGGATTCTCCATCCCTGAAGGTTTTTAAGATGAGACTGGATGTGGCATCAGTGCTGTGGTCTGGTAATCATGGTGGTAGTGGATCAAGGGTTGGACTTGATGATCTTGGAGGTCCTTTCCAACCCAGCTGATTTTATGATTCTTATACCCATTGACAAGTTCTTTCCCTTCTCTTCTTCGCGCTGAAATGTCCCAGCTCTCTCAGTCTCTCTCTCTGATGTTTTAATCACCCTTGTGATACTGCAGGAGACTCACTGGAGTGCCCAGCACTGGACACAAACCCCCAGATCCATCTCACTGGGGCTGTGTAGAGGGGAAGGATTCCCTCTCTCAACCTGCTGCTGATGCTGTTCAGCTCAAGATGCTTTTAATTTACTTTACTCTGAGGACACACTGCTGTTTCATGGTCAGCTTGGTGTCCACTGGGACCCCCCAGGTCTTCTCTGCAAAGCTGCTTTCCAGCCCATCAGTCCATACTGGTGCACTGGGTTATTTTTCTCCAGCTGCAGGATTAGCATTTCCTTTTATTGACCTTCATAGGAATCCTCTCTGGCCATTTTCCCAGATCAACAGGGTTCTCTGAATGGCAAAACAACCATCTGGTCACTCCTCCTGAATTTTTACTGTCTCCAAACATGCAGATGTCCCAGTCATCTATATCATCTACATATAGCATCAGTCCCAATATCATCACCTGTGGTACTGCATTACTGACTTGCCTCCTGTTGCACATTCCTTTGATCTCAGTATTCCAGCCTGTTTTCAGTCCAAGTCACCTGTATTTATGTAACATAGTTGTATGATCATAATCCATCCATCATTATTTCCTGATTTACTTGTGGATCTGATTAGCTGTCCCAAAAATTACATGTCATGAAATAATAGAATCACAGAATGATTTGGGCTAGAAGGGACTTTAAACATTTCCAATCCCCCTGCCATAGGTAGAGAATCTTCCACTAGTCCAGGTTGTCTCATCCATCCTGGCCTTGAACACTTCCAGGGATAGGTCAACCACAACTTGGGCAACCTGTTCCAGTGTATCAAGAGAAAAGATATTAATCCAGACTTTCCAGAGCTAAGGATGAACACAGTGATCCCAGAGCCAGAAGCACACAGCTCCTGTTGAGCATTTAAAGCACCGTGGTGAGCTGTGAGTCAGGCTGCCAGTCACCCGAGTGCAGCTGATGCTGGGACTCATCTAATTTAATTTTAGCTGCCAAGAAGTTTGCTGCCTGTTCTAAGCCAGTCTTTTAGGCTGACTCTGTTGTCAACACACAGAGACAAGTAACCCCAGAGGGCGATTCATCCAACCCCTCTGCCATCGACTCCAGAGACACATAATGACCAGCTTAGATCAGATGCCTAATTATTGGATGGTGAAGGTTAGGGAAGATGAATCCCATTAGAAAAAAAAAAACAGGTTGTAGGAAACATTCTGCAGGCTCTGTGCCAGCTGAGGGCTCCTCTCTGCAGTGACACTTGGCAGTATTCCAGCTCCTTTTCTCTTCCAAGCAGCGTGCAAGGGAAGAAGCAGAAGAAGGGAACAACTTGACTTCTATATTCCTGGAGCAGTATTTTTATTCTGCTTGATGAATTGAGGAGGAGGAGGCACTCTTTGGAGTGACATGGGGTGATTAGGCTGGGGTCAGTGTGCCCAGGTTTGTTTGCTCTTCCCCACACTGCTATTTTCTGCTGTTATCCTGCTCTGCTGGTTTCTTGCACAGAGACAGATTGCATTCTCCTGCTTAACAAGGCATTTGTGGTGCTGAAATAGCACAGAGAGAATATCCAGAGAGCAAAGGGAGTTTAAGCCCAGTTTCTGGATGAACAGCATGAGCAGGCTGACTGAGGCTCCAGGGTAAATAAAGCCTAAATCATGCCCATGCTGTGTTAACACATGTGATCAAATGACTTGAGCCACTGAGACTGATATCTGGATTATGGACCATATCACAATTACTGTCTAAGCAGATTGTCCCTTCAACTTTGGTTTCTCTCTCCAAAATAAAGCCTTCTAGTTTTGTTTCCAGACCCACAACCATTCTTTGTGGTGTCCAATGTGAACAAGGGATTCAATTTCTTTTCCAGCACAGTATCTTAGTGCTGGTACAATCCATTTAGCTTTTTTCTTTTTCGTCATTGTAACAATAATAACACAAAGAGAAATTCCTCCTGCAGCTGCAATTGTGAGGCATTATACAGAAATTTAGCTGAGGGATGAAAAATTGCAATAGACTGGGGAAGAAACACTTGCTGTGTTAAGCATGCCCTGAAGGTATATTAGATATGGCACCAGATGTCAATCAATCTTGTGTTCTGTTGCCCACAGTAAGATCAGCCTGCACACACACAGTGAGAAAGTGTGGAAACAAAAAAATTACGTTTTAGGATCTCCCATTAGACCCAAAAGCCACTGAGCCAGAGGTTAAGGCATGGCTGAAGCCTCAAAGAGATCAAAAAGATGCCCTTGGAGCTTCTCTAAAAGGGAGATCTCAGAGACCTGGTTCCCTCCCCCCCCTTTCAGATCCCTGCAGTTTGATGGAGATGCTCCTTCCTGTCCTTC